TGGATATTCCTATCCAATGGAAACATGATTTAGGGCATTCCCAACTAATTTAAGAAATTAGAAAGGGGAACTGAGAGGAGCTGAAACGGAAGCAGCAGCAGATACGGTTAGAATCATCCTTTAAACCCAAGAAGGGTCAATTTATAGTCCAGAACAAGGGGAAATGGGCCAAAACGTAAAATTGGGATGTTAAACCTTTGTAAAGACTTATTGGCACTGGACTAAGAAACCAAAGGAAGCTCAGAGGAGAAAAGAAGAGTGATTACATCTGACGTGGTGTGTTGACTATTATTTCTGATGCTCCAGGGAAGTATGAGAAAAAACCCGGGAGGCAGTTTTTCCTCCCTTAAAAGTGGAAGCAGTGATGGTGATGCTGCGGAAGCAGCTGAAGGTCAAAGAAGTGAAGAGTCAGATGCATGAGTGCTTGAGTATTGCATACTTTTGGGTGTGTGGTTTCTAGTGGGAATGATGCCAGAAGCCTAGATCTGAATTCTGGCTTACTTCATGGAATAAATTTGGCCCATGCTCCCTATCTGGACCCTGGATTATCCATTCTTTGAGGCCGTCTGCTTGGGGTGGGGGGGCTGTGCCAGGCTCCACTTGGCCACCAGACAAAACAGAGCAGAAACGGGGCAAGGTGACCTGAGGACAGCAGGTGTGATATGAGGTTTGGCTTCCATGAAGAGCATCAAAGGTTCAGGAAAAGTTGAAGCCCTACATGCTGTGGAAAGCTGGAGGAAGGAGAGGTTGCAGGTTGAAGAATTCCCTAATAATCGTCTTTGCAGGTTATCTGGTAGAAGGGAACTCATGCATTAGGGCAAACAGGGTAAGGAAGGGGTACAGATCAGTAAGGCCTGAAAGAACCATCTTATAGGGAAAGAGCGACGGGGGTTCTGGGTACCAGTGACACTGCAGTCAACAAAACAGGCAAGAGAGAGGGGTAAGAACTCGAAAACAGGCTGAAGGGATTGCCAGTGCCCACAATAGCTGCTGACCCCTCCACACTCTTCACTCATGCTGTGCCCTTTCTTTTCAGCGGACCCTGCGGTACAGACGGATGGCAGCCCTCTCTGTTGCCATTTCCACTTCAGCCCCAAGGTGATGTTCACAAAGGTACTGAAGGCCCAGCTGTGGGTGTATCTACGGCCTGTGCCCCGCCCAGCCACAGTCTACCTGCAGATCTTGCGACTGAAACCCCTAACTGGGGAAGGGACTGCAGGGGGAGGGGGCGGAGGCCGGCGTCACATCCGAATCCGCTCACTCAAAATTGACCTGCACTCGCGCTCCGGCCACTGGCAAAGCATCGACTTCAAGCAAGTGCTACACAGCTGGTTCCGCCAGCCACAGAGCAACTGGGGCATCGAGATCAACGCCTTTGATCCCAGTGGCACAGACCTGGCTGTCACTTCCCTGGGGCCAGGAGCTGAGGGGCTGGTGAGCAGGGAGCCTGAGATATTGGCAGATATGTATAACCTGGCCCTGAGGAGGTGGGATGTTGGAAAAGGTAGACCAGGAATGTAAAGGGGGCTGAGGACCAATATTATTTTTCTAGGTTCCGGAGCTGATTCTAGAGGCGCAATTAGGTGGTAGTGATGGGGTGCTAATCACGTTTCAAAGATCCAAGGCAGGCAACAGCTGGAAACTGGATTTGGGGTGGTGTGTTAATAGATTCGTGGAAACACAGAGATGGGCTGTTGTTGAGACCTTGGGCCAGGGGTGATGAGGGTCAGGTTGCCAGGAGAAGAATTAGGGAAGGTGAATTGAGGGAGAGATGGCTAGCTGGCAGGAAGAGTGGGCAGAAGACGGGCTGGGGACGGGAGCAGGGGAAAGGCTAACAGTCTCCGTTTCTGATACTCCTGTTGAGGGGCAGGTGAGAAAGGAACAGGGAGTAGGAGCTCTTGGGGAATATATCACATCTCTTTCTCCTCTCCCTCACCCCCAGCACCCTTTCATGGAGCTTCGAGTCCTAGAGAACACAAAACGGTCCCGGCGGAACCTGGGCCTGGACTGCGATGAGCACTCAAGTGAGTCCCGCTGCTGCCGCTATCCCCTCACAGTGGACTTTGAGGCTTTTGGCTGGGACTGGATCATTGCACCTAAACGCTACAAGGCCAACTACTGCTCCGGCCAGTGCGAGTACATGTTCATGCAAAAGTATCCACACACCCACTTGGTGCAACAGGCTAATCCAAGAGGCTCTGCTGGGCCCTGCTGTACCCCCACCAAGATGTCCCCAATCAACATGCTCTACTTCAATGACAAGCAGCAGATTATCTACGGCAAGATCCCTGGCATGGTGGTTGATCGCTGTGGCTGCTCCTAAGGTGGGGGATAGGATGCCTCCCTCACAGACCCTACCCCTCGAACCCTCAGCCCTGACCCCCATGCCCCCAGGCCCAAGAGCTCCCTCCACCTCTTCCCATGAACATCACACCTTGTTCCCTGCCCAAGCAGTGTGCAATACAACAGAGGGAGGCAGGTGGGGGATTGAGAGGTGAGGGGTTTGGGGGAAAAGGGGAAGAGGAGGGGGCATGGTCAGGTGGGGAGTGTTAGAGGTTTGAGGTGAGAACGTTTGGCAAGAAGACAGAGAGACGTAGAGACAAAGGTAGAGCAGAGGGATAGAGACAGAGGAACAAAAAGTGCAGCAGTGAGAAGGCAAAAGGATAGAGATGCAGAAGAGACAGAGACTAGGCAGAAATAGAGAGAGAAACCGAAATGGAGTTTTAAGAGAAAGCCCCACACCAAGCCTCCTTTCTTCCACTGGCAAGGTGAGGGGCTTGGTATGGTTTGGGGAGATCCCCTGACTACCATTCTCAGTAGGAGAAGAAATCAAAATTCATTCTTAGCTTCTTCCCTTTCTCTCTCCAGCAGTGGCTGGGGGAAGGGAAGTGAGGGCAGGGGCAAAGGGAGGATTTTGGAATTTTATTTATTTATTTATTGTGACTTTTCCTTTCTTGGTATTTGGCTTTACTGAAATAGAAGGGCCCCTGCCCACGGTGCCCCATTTGTCCCTTATTCCCCAAACCCTGTTCTCCCTCAGTACCCATCTACTTAAGCACTTGTTTAAAGCCTCCAGGGTTGAGAATGGGAGTAGAGGGCAAGAGGGCTGACACATGGAAGTTTCCAACCCCAAATCACTCTACTTAAAACCTTCCTGAGCCAAATGGGTTGAACTGAATTCCAGCAGTCACAGAAACAGTAAGTTAGGGTTTAGGAGCTGGAGGGGTGGGGGGAGTGGGACTCAACATCCAGGATCTATGAGAGCCACTACACTAACCCTCAGGTCCACCCACATAGTACTGACTTATTTAGGCAGAGGTGTGGCCTACTCATGCCCAAATTCCCCCCAGCTAAGAGAGAGACCAAAGAGCCTGTGGAATGCCTCTGCTGCCAGCCTTTATCTTCAGGTCAATAAAAAGAAGAGTAGAAAGCCCAGAGTCCCCTAGTCTGGGCAGCATTAGGAGGGGTCAAGAAAGTAGTAGTAAGGAGGCTGAAGGTTACAGGGCGTTTGAATCCAAATCACTGCTCTGGGCTAGGGAATAGAGCCGGCAGACCAAGGTGGAAGGGATTCTGGAGGGGGGACATTTTAGTCCCCCAACCCAAAGCTCAGGGTGGAAGAGGGGAGAACAAGGGAGCAGAGTGTCTATAATTATTTTTATCTTTTATTTTTTGGAATCTAGCAGTACCTGGCAGCAGGGAGGGGACAATACAGTAGGGAAAAGCATCTGACAAGGCCAGTTAGAGCAGATGGGAAGGATGGAGACTCCCTGGTTTGGAAGGCTAGGAAGCAGGCAGGGACTGGTTGCCACTCCAAGTCACTAGCTGGGCCTATTCATTCCTTCCACAATCCTGACCCACCCTCCTCTGGACTCACCGTGCCTCAGTTTCTTCCCCTCGATGGAATGAGAACTAGCAGCACCCGCCACAGCCAAGAGATGAATTCTGAGCACTTACCACGGGCACTTTATGGACATAAAATACCTCTCGCTGTGGGACAGATAACCAGGGCACCAGAGTAGTGGTGAAGAGATGTGAGGCTTAGAGGAGTCACAGGCTTCCGAGTACAAGTTCCCCTCTGCCTCCCAGCTGGACAGTGCCTGAAGCCAAGGAGTTGAGAATCTCCTGATCTGCACCCTATTCATACCTCACCACCAGACCTCTTGGCTCTGGGCAAAAGCCTGGAGGATATCAGGAGAGGAGGGGAAAAGAACCTTCAGCAAAATTGTCACTCTAATTAGAGCCAACAGTTACCGCTTTGATGCAAACAGTACTGAACTAAAGTCAAGTCCAAGCTGGAGAGCTGACCTGGAAGGCTTGTTCTTCCCAAGAGCATGACTTTCCTGACTGGTCCAGCTGGTAGAAGGGGCAAAGGTATGTGACCACCCTTGGAAAGGTGATGCTGGTGAGTTTTGGCATCTTATTCCCATCCCCAGTGAAAAAGTAAGATGAATTATTTCGGTATAGGAATGGGCAAGGGCTGTTAAGCATTTTAACTCACCTCTGCCCATATAGCAGCTACGCTAACCCCAGCCTCTCCTTTCTGACCCTGTTCTTCATCCTTCCTTCTGCCCCAATCTTGGAGAACAAGATACACCTGACCATCAACACCATCCACGTTTCCTTGGTGGAAGGAGAGGGAGAGAGAAGTGAAAGTGAAGAACAGAAGATGCCTCCTCTAAGGTCAAATGCCCATGTCTCTTCATGTTGGCACAGGGTGGGGGCTGGGCAACAGGCATCGGGTGACTTCCCTCTACAAATTCTAGAGAGCTGGGGCATTAGACTTGGGGGACACTTAGAATATGCCCCTTTAATATCACCAAATAAAGACCTTTGGAGGGGGTCTTTCTCTATGAACATATATCTATGAGTTGAAGTCTCATTTGCCTGGTCCTCCCCACCCCCAAAGAGGCATGAGGTAAAGAAGCCTGGGGGCACAGCCCAGCAACCACCCCCCATCTCCCACCTTATGATGTGTATGGACCTGGTCAGTGCCCCTCCGATCAAAATTAGTGTAATTATTATTTACTTTGTGTATTTGTTACACCACGTGCGTGACTGCCTTTGTTTGTTAAGGGTGTCTGAGGAGTATGGGGCTGACAGGGGCACTGGAATGCCGGGAAAGGACTTCTTCACTGAGACCAAGGCTTCCTGGAGGGAACCACTGCAAAAAGGCCATCAGGCAGTTTTCAAGTTATGTGACAGAGGACAAAGATGGCCATAGGGTGCTCTGAGTTTTGGGATGGTCACATGACACAATCCAGCACTTGAACCTGAAAAAAGAAAAATAAAAGCAGTCAAAGAGTTTAGAATTCAGTGATGAGCTCTTCTCCCTAATCAAGCGCCACATTTATACCTTGGAGACCAGGAAGCAGACGATCTGAGAGAGAATGAAACCCTGTGTTCAAGGACTAAGAAGATGGGGTCTCTGAAGCAACGGAAAACACTAAGGGGCACCTAGGATGAGGGATGGGATGTGCAGCCCAAGGGAAGTTGGGCAAGGGACAGGAAAGAGAAGGGACTTAGAACAACTCTTCTTTGGAGACGTAATCCTAAACTGTCTCAAAGATTACAAAAACCCTCTCTCAGCCTCCACAGAACAGAAGATCTAAAAGTTCTCTTGAGATGACCTAGCTAATGTCTACCCTATTCTCCTGCAGTTCCCTGATCTTAAGGTTTCTTCAACAAAATCCTCAAACCAAACCAACATTCAACTTGCCAGTGTACCAAGAGTGGTTAAGCATCTCAAATATTGATTCCACCATAAAAATGTCTCCCTAGGGCCTAAAGAGTTGGGGATAGCAAAGGAATCTTGCCTAACTCGTATCTGGAAACAAAGGAAAGTTCCTGTGACATCAATCTGATCCAGATGGGGGACAGGGCCACTGAGGGCTCAAGTGCAACCATGCTTTCTCTGTCCTGTCAGTTTTCTCAGTGGACTGACCCCACCGCAGACCAATTACAAGACTGAGGTTGGGGGAGGACAGGAGTGCCACAGACTGTACTGTCCCCCCAAGGAAGTGCTTTACCCACACTTCTCCCTACCTTTTGTCCTGAGCTAAAAATAGGTCCCTGCCCCCCAAATGCTTGTTTCCTACATTGAGAGGACACCCAGAAGAGACTGCAAGATGACTTCCTGCAACTCAATGCATGAATAGCTATCCTATACTCTGTCTTGGCCCATGTCAGGAAGCTAGGAACCAACAGGCAGTGGCATTTACAGCTTCTGGTGGGTGGTCATGCAGAAGAGGGAAGTCAGTGGCCCTGGCCACAACGTGAGCTGGGGTTAAGGGAGCAACTGGGACTCCTCCCATATCTCTAACCTCCAAATGCACCAGCATCTGCAGTAAGCATACACATACAAACTCTCAAACTAGTCCACTCAGCCCCCTTTCTTCTAGCTGGACTCTACTCAGGGAAAAGAATGTTTCCACTGTAAATCACCTAGTAAAATTAAGAGCTAATATTTATGGAAAGATTACTATTCAAGCTATGTTAAGCAAACTGTGCTCAGTACATAATATGATAGTGTCAATTCTCACAGCAATCTTCACAATAGGGTTGCTTTTGGCACAGAGTCTGGGAACCAGCTGAGCTAGTGTGGTAGAACAAGGAATTACACCAAAAGAGTTGCAGTACAGTATTTCATTGTTACTTACCTGTTAACAGTGATCTGAGAGGTTAGAAAAACGAAAGGCAGGGACAACTGAGAAAGGAAAACAAAGAGAAAGCTGGGAGCACTTCGGGCTCAAAGGGTCCCCAAACTTGTGAAGTCTGACGTTTTTCAGTCCCTTTGAAAGGCAAAACAAGAGGAGTGTGGACATGTAGCAAGAGTGGAAGATTAGATTCTGGAGGATTCCAATCGTCAGAGGCCATTACAAAAGAGAATAGGGGAAAACTGTTCTTCTCCCTTATTTGTGTAAATTCCTTCCTTTCCCCTCATCTGTTTCTCATGTCAGATATGACAACAGGACTCAAACTCAGCACCGAGAAGTCCTGCTCTTATTCACATCTTCCTTCCTGATAGCCCTCACCCCCCAAAGAAGCTTCTAGCCTTGTGTCTTCACAAGTTCCCAGGGTTTGGGGAGGGGGAAGGGCAGTTTAGAGTGATGGTAGAGAAAAAGAGAATGATCCTAGAGAACCATAAAAAGGTACAGATTTACAGCGGAGGAAACTGGTTCCTTCCAGCATCTTTTATAGACTCCCTCATTAAGAGCTTCCAGGTATGCAGAGAATGTCACAGCCTCAGGACAGGGGAAAGAAGACTGGGGTTGGCTAACTACATCTGGATCCTGGATTAGCTACACTAAAGAGACTCGGGGATAGGAAGGAAGGGTACTTGGATCTCAGATAAAGAATTGTAAGCATGGGTATCTGTTTTGCCTTTCAAGGGACTTACCATTTTAAGATTGAATTAGTAAAAGACATAGGCATCCTGAACTATTCCTGCTCAACAAGTATGTGTGGAATGGTTACAATGAGACAGGAAGAGGAGGATTTGGTGATCAGGCTTGGAGGTGAGACTCCTGACCAACATAAGAACAGCTGCTGGAACGGGATGAAAAGGGTTAGTAAAAAATCCACACAAATTGAGAAACACTGTATTAAGAAATGGGAAAAGTGAGTTGAGTGGAGAAAAGAATGATTAGGCTTCAGGAAGAGAATCCTCGGGGTGGGGATAGGGAGGTTGAATAACTATCTGGAACATTATAGAGGATAAGGAAACAAAGTGAAGAGAACTTCTGAAGGACCTAGTACTCCACTCCATTATCAGCATCTACTCCATTCCTTTACCTATTTCTTATTTTGGGTAGAAAACCCTTACTGAAAATATAAACTCTCTAAAGCTAAAAAACTGAACAAATTCTCTCTGGTTCTGTTTTCAGAGAGACAGAGTAAGAGGGGAAAAGCTAAATTCAAGATCAGGGCCTGGAGAAAAGAAAAGGGAGGCCGACAGTAGAGGCCAGAGGAAAGAGATGGAAGAAGTTTAACCAGTGTTCCCTTTTGTTCCTTTCTCCAAAGTCTCAGAATGGGGCAAAATTCACAACCAGTGGACAAACAGGCAATCTCTGGATATGTTCTCCAAAACAGCGTATTCTTAGGCATCTAAACTTAGGTCCTTGTCCTCTAGCAAACAAAGGGACTTTGTGGAAAGAGATCATTAGGAAGGGGATCAAACCATTACCTTTCTATTCATCACAAAGCCAGACAGAGGTGTTAGTAGAAATGGGAACAAGGAATTAACACCACAGCAACATGGGATCTGATCACGGTACCAAGGTCTTCCGGTGAGGTGACAGGTTCTTAAGTTTTATTATCAAAAAACCCGAATAAAACCCAACCTTATATAGCTGTACAGAAATAAAGATTAAGAGGAGAAACTCTATACCAACAAATCCAAAAAGATTAAGCAGCAGGTCTCAGATCTATATGAAACTTTAAATGCAAACAAGCAGTCTGCTTACGGAGAGCCAAACCTTTCTAAGTAAGAGGCTCAGCAGAGAAAATGGATTTTAGTAATATTTGAGAAACACTACCACCAAAACTGCAGAAGGGTATTTCTGCAACAGAAGAAGACAAACTAAACTAGCACAAGGCTTGATTAAAAAATAGAAGCCTCTAGTCCACAACTTACATTCCCAAGGATCTAGGTACTAACGCTTAACACCTCTGACATCCTGTCATACTTTGAATCCCTGTATTTTCTTCCAGTCCTGAGGGGTACCCAGCCTATCTCCTTTCCTGAACTGCATAGCCAACAGGGTAGGGTCCCACATACTGGCTGTAGCACTCTTGAAAATGGGGATAATAGGGACCCTGGACTCCATTCCATAATAGACTACCAATCACTAGCCCTTGTATTTATATCCTTTGCACCTCCTAAAACCCACAGTTTTATCCCAATGGGTCAGGCCAACCTGCTAAAGCAAAGATTCAGGGTGAAACCTGGCCTCTTCATGGAGAATAAAGAGGTAAAAGGATGCCTGTGAGTATGAGAGAAGGGAATAAACAGACTTAAAGGGATAGACTCAATCCTTTTCCTTGTTCTCCTTTCTAAAGGATAAAGGCATTATGGCTAATTCTCTATAGTATTTACCCCTGAAGCTCCCCTTATCTGGTCTAATCTGGCTCTAAGAACTCAAAAGGAGCACCTGATAAAACACATTGTTCTTTTTTCTGGTTTTTTTTTTATTAACAAGCAAAATAATAATTAAAAAACAGTAACACAACAACAACAACCTAAAAGTTGGAACAGCAATAAGTCAAATTGCTGAAGTTCACGGATGTACCTGGGGTACATGCTCCCTCACTGCGAGGCAGGACCTCAGCACATGACTGCATTTTAGGCATACATGTGACCAGGAAGAGTCAGAGATGGAAACCACCAGAGAACAGAAAGCATCAAGAGCTTTTCATCAGGCAATCCCAAAGCGCTCTGCTCTTTTCCTCTTCTTTGCCTGTAAGGAAAAAGCAAGAAAAAAATTAGATTGCAAGACACAGTGGCTTGGGTTCCTGGCTTTAGTCTAAACTCTCATGGACTGTCACAAGGTCCAAGAAGGAAGGCAGGCCGAGCTTAAGCTTGGCGGCCAGAGATTTAATGTCTGAATCTCTTCAGTTATCCAGTTAGTTATCCAGAGCTGGGGAGGTCTGGTGGAAAAGGAGGGTAAAGAGAAGACTGTGGGGAGCAGGGGGTGGGAGGGAGAGGAGAAGAACAGTCATAGAAAATAGAAAGATTCCTAAAGGAGAAAGGGCCACTCGGCCTTATAGAAAGTTAGCTTGGAAACAATGGAACCTTAACAGGCTAGGGAAAGTCTTCCAGTCAGTGGAGAGATGGGAGATTTCAAAGAACAAAAGGTTGGCCAATGTTATGTCACGGAGAAGGTGACGGGGGATGCCATTCTGGGCTGTTAGGCCCAATCAGCAACTATTCCTCAGGCCTCCCAATCCACAGAGAGGCATATAAATTTTCAGTGCCAACAGAATAAATTGAGGGAAGGGGGAGGCACAGGGAAGAGGCCAAACATGGATCTCTTAAGGATGGCAGCATTGGAGGGCATACAATGTGTAGAGGGGAGAAAGAGGATGGTATTTTTGCTCTGGGAGTGACTTACAAAACAGAATTGAGTCCTTCACCTTCACTCCAACCACTGCCCCAAAGCAAAGAGGGGAATCATTTAGTTTAGATTAAAAAGAAAAGATGAGTACATGTAAGCCCAGCGCACTCCGCCTGCATCACTTACACAATTCTCTGGAATCAAAAGTTCATGTAAACTCCATCAGCCTCAGAAGTTACTACTCCCTTACATACACTTACTTGCCCCCAAAAAGCTACTATTCCTTTCCACCCCACAAAATCCTCACCTGCCTTATCTTGGAGGCCAAATTTACCAATTTAGTGAGCACTCCTGGTTTAGCAATGGATTCCCTGGCAAAGAGGGAGTAATTTTTAACTAGAATTAAAATAAGCCTAAGTTTACTTCTAGCTCATGCTGGCAAGTATCAGCTACATTTACTTACACCATGCAATGCTTTATCCTGAATTAGTAGCACAAAGAATACAAACTACTTTAGTTTTTTCCCTAGTGGAAAATGTAAACTGATCAGATTCTAAAATTTTCAGTGTTTATTACAAGATTGTTCCTGATATTTATTCATAAAGAGACTATAATTATTTTGAGTATATGAGGTAACAGATTTTCAGAGGCCATCTCCAGAGGTAGATGGAAAGAAGTAAATCTGGATCAAATGGAAGAAGCAACATTCCAAATTCCTTGCCATCTAACTTTCTATAATTCTAAACATATTCATTATTTCAACTGTTCATGTACACCTCAGGTGACACTTGGTCTCCATTATAGATATTCTCAAGTCAGCAAATCAATATCATCCATTAAACATCCGTTAAAGCTCCGAGAGCTGTGAGCAGTCTGCCAATGCTCAGGGCCTCAGTGAATGCGAGTTACTCCAAAGAACGCTGAGATATGGATGAACACAAGTCTTTTTTTTTTTTAAGGGGTAAACCACTCTTTCATTTTGAGAGCCTATCTGTAAACAGAGTGATAAGAACAAGAAGTCTCATTTGAGCCCACTCTCCTATTCCAGAGGGCAGTTAGGCACAACTGTATTTGTGTCTGGGTTGGACATGGCCTTCATTAAATGATCAAAGAAAATGCTTGGCAGATAATCACAGACATTGCTACTTACTGAATACTTAACATGACAGGCACTGTGTCTAATATTTTATATAGAATCATCTCATGCTTAAAATACCACTTTGAAGTAGGTTTTAGTATTGCCACTTCCCAAATAATGACACTGAGGCAGAAAACTACCATAACTTGTAAGTAATACTGTGATACTAAGTGCCACAGCTACTCTTCAAATCCAAGCTTAACTGATTCCATATCTTGCACTCTTTCCTACTAGGCTTATCAGCTCTAACAGTGAATTACCTGTGGGGCTACTTTACCCAGAAAACAGATATTAAGCAAAGGACAAAAGATCCTGTCATCTGGTCACTTAAGAAGTAAGCCAGAGAAATAATAATGTTTCTCCACTGTTTGTCACCCTTATTTTCCCTTCAAGGGCTCTAGGAAGCAGTTCTCAGTAAATTTTACCTCTGTATCCTCTGTGGTTCCTGTTCCAGCTGAACTTGTGACAATCCCAAATCGCTCCTTCCTCTTTTTCAGCTTCTCGTCATCCTCAGACTGTTCAGGCATAAAGAAAAGAGTTTAAACAAGCTAGCCTCCATTCACAAGGTAAATGGGAATGAAATTATAACTTATTGGTCACAATATGCCAGCCAAGCTTGTGTCAAGAACTAAGGATCACACAAACATAAAGAACAGAAAACTGAATAAGCTAGCATGTAGCATATTGTCCTTGGAATGACTAAAAACAATCTTAAGTAGGGCCTCAATACTCATTAGACAAGTAGAGTCAAGAAAACAGTAAAAAATACTCATCAAACAAACTTTTGTGCTGAAGGAATTTTTGTAGTTCAGAGACACGGAAAAATGAGGCTTTACTAAATAACACCTGCAGAGAGCAGGCTAGAAGAAGGCACCCAAATTATTTGTTGAACACTGCTTACATGTTCCATTCACTTGCCAAGGGAAGGGGAAGAGAGCCAGAGTGGTGTTTCTGAAGAACTAACAAAGAAAGCTAAGCATTATGAACACCTAGCAAAGTCACAGAAAGTTCTGAATAGTTTGAAATGATTTTAAAATAAGGAAACAGCAGCAGTCATCTCTCTGAGAGAGATACTCTGGACCTTTTCCAAGCATCCAAGACTCATGTATCTGCCCTGTAACCAGAGAGAATGTTCCAGCTTACTGTGAATAGGAGTTAACCATTCTCCTATAGCATTTTAAAGACTGAGCTACTGTTCACATCCAACACTGTTCAATATGAGTCTCATTTATATTATATTCCCATCAGGACCTAAACCCTACCACTTTACTTATCCCACTTTAACAGCTGTTTTCTCCTTTTCCATCTCCCCTGCCCTGCCCCAATACCCTGTCACCAGTAATCAAAAGGCCAGCAGTAGGATTAGAAACATCTAAAATTAGGTGAGAGGGGTGTGTGTGTGTCTGTGTGTGTGTGTGTCTGTGTGTGTGAGATGTATACAAAGATCCTATCCTCTCCCAGGAGACCCTCCATTCCATACACACATAACCACCCTCATCCACAGGTCAGGTTAAAAGGGCTCAAAAAGACTTTTGAACAAGCTTCTGTGTGGTGCTCCTGAGCTGGATTTAAAAAAAAACAAAAAAGCCCTAAGGAGTTCATATTCCTGCAGTCTGTAGGCAAGTTTCTGGGTGTCCCCAAAACCAGAGCCAAAAGGAAAGGCAATAAACAGAACTACAGAAACATGGGAATGTTTAAAATACCTTTACTCTCAACTCCAGCCGAGGAGCTACCTTTGCCCTGACGACCAGGGAGCCGCCTTCTGGTCCAAAGCAGGGTGGCCCTACAGCCTCTGCGTTCAGTCTGCCCACCTGCCCTGCTCTCTGAACACAGCAGGCAGCAGTACTTTCCTGTTCTTACTCCAGCTCTTTCAACTTGAGAAGCATGTTCATTTTCTCCCTTTTACTGCACCTGCCTTCCAGCAAGGAAGAAAGGAGCTAAGAAAGGTTGGTGGCTATTCAAGGACTGAAGACTCCTATACAGGAGTTATCACTTAATAGTGTATTACTAGAATAGAATATTGCCTACATAGTTTTTCTGCCTTTTTCATTATAACCATGAGCAAATCCATAGTGGGAGCATAATTAATGTACTCTAAACTACTGTAAAACATTGAGCCAGGTTCCAAAGAATAAAAGAAGTTTCTTGTCTTTAATAATCGTAAGTTAAAATAATGATGATGATAATATTAATCTCATTTATGTTTTAACAATCTTAAACATAGGTACTATGACTAAATTCATTTCACAGATAGGAAAACTAAGCCTTAGAGAAACTAAGTATCTTGCCCAAATCTCACAAATAGTAGTGGAAGAGCCACAAGTGGAACCCAAGACATTTTACTCAAGAACCCACTTTCTTAACTTTACCATATTCTCCAGTATGTCACATAAGCATTTCTTTGGAAGAACAGTAGCAGAAAGGAAGCAGTGCTTAATTTCCAAGGGAAGAAGGATCACTAGGACCCTCAGCTAAAAAGCAGTTGCAAACTACTTCAACTACTTCCGTTATCTCTGAAATAACTTGAGTCAATGCTAGGATTCTATCCTTTCTCTACTATACCGTTCGCCTCCACTTTATAACTAACTAGGGATCAAGGGAAAGGACACCAATTAGTAGTCTCATACTAAACATTTTCACAAGTGAACTTGTTTCTAATTTTGGCTAATTGGTTCTTCTATCTGCTGAAATCTATGAAAAGAATTAGGATTTCCAATGAACACAGGCCTCACTATTTCCTTACCAAGGTCTCTAGGGAAAGTTTTCTTGATTTTTGTCTACCGCCACTAAGATAAAAGTGATTAAGAAATATAAATGGAAATTTCAAAATGAGAACATCTATAGAATATTCTAAATGAAAGCCCTCCCTTTCATTAAGCCTCCAGGCCAAGCAAGAAACAGTTTCAGGGGGAATAAAAGGAGCATACCATACCCTTCTCGGGGAGAGGTAGGACTAGACTGTATCTTGCTCAACTACCACTATGTATTTTTTTTCAGAGCTAGCGGGTATACAGCTAGGGGTACATCAGCAAGTTCAAATCACAGAGGGAGATGCTACTTCTGAAACCTAGCCATTCTCTCAGCACAAACCATGGGGCCATTTCCTCACAAATCTCATCACAAAGCCTAGATCCATTCAGAATATGTGGGACAGCCTTCCCTCTGGTTCTCTACTTTGCTACATCCTAAAATGTAGAGTTTGACTTCTAAATTAAATTTCCTGGTTTCTTTCTTTTTTTTTTTTTTAGTTCAAAAGTGAGGAAAGAACAAGGTAGGAAAAGAAGAGGGAGTGGGGTCAGGTGGATATATTTCTCTAGCCACTAAGGCTAGTATCAGAGATTTCCCTATGAGCTTCCTTTTTAAATCCCTTGGTGCCTCTCCTGGAGATCCAGGCAGAGCATCTGCTCCAAACCTACCAGAAGCTCTAGAGAGAAAAAAAACAAACAATACAGATCCCCCCACCCACTATGAACAGCCTGCCCACCTCTCACCCGCAGAGACCAATAGGAGCTCTATTTATTTTGTGCATGCCTGCCCTTCTCTCCCCACCCAGTGCCCCTCAGCTCCCCTCCTAAAGCCTCTTTCCTCATTGCCCTGCAGGGAAAGTGCACAACAGGCCCAGTAAATCAACACAGTTCTAATGATCTCTCTCACTTGACCCTTCTAGCGTGACGGTGTCGCATGGAAACAAACGTACAATAAACTTCACTCCATCTTTAGCTCCTTGCTGACAGGTTTTGATTCATGGGATGGTGAGACCCATTTCTGAGGGAAATTACCTCGATCAAAACGCATCTCTCTGTGCATTCATCAGGCCAATGCTCCCCCAGGCCATGCTCAAGTGCACAAATGGGGTTGTGCATCTGCAGGCAGCACTGACCCCTTTAACTCAGTGTCATATGCATTTGCAAACCTTCCTCTACTTCATCCCTCCCCCACTTCTCTCCTGCAAAACTTCAACCACTAACAAATCTTTCTTCTCCCCCTGCAAGTCCCTATGTGGGAAGAACACTGCTGGAATCTGAAGCGCCCTTATTTGCTACCAAGTGAAAACTCCTCAAAACACAACTTGTATCCAAAATCAGAAGAGAAACCTGTCCTCACTGACTAAACACAGGCATTGGATATTCAGATTGATCCACATACTTCACTTCTCTCATTCTCACTCAAGATTTAAACAGCAAGCCAACTAACTGACTGATGCCAATAGTTTCAGCACGATCGTCACTCATCTCCCAGTAACTGTCTTTTCTTTTCAAAAGTTTGGTGATAAAATGAGAAAGAGAATTGTGCAGAAGAGGAGAGAGCCCATATAAGCAGCACAGGACAGAAAACATGATATATATTTCATAAAGACAAACACCCCCATGAATCACTATCACTGTATTTTTCATCATGGAACAAGATAGTTCTAAACTGTGTCCTTCAGAAGATATCTTTCACTTTTCTTCTTGTTTCCCTTTCATATTTGGCAAATCCTCAGACAATATAAGGAAAATGATACCTGCTGAGGGAAAAGACTGAGACATTCCAGGCTGCCCCAAGATACAAATTACATGTGTGAAAGTGCTTGGTACACAGAAACTATCATATAAGTATTCAATTTGTATTGCTTCCTCGTGTTCCTTGAAATAAAGTCAGAGACCACCAACAAAATTTTGCAGCTAACAATGCCATTCATTCTTCTTCTACACTAGAAGTGAAGTCATCAAAGAATCATACTCATTACCAAGGCAACAAGGAAATTCCCTTTAGTTGCAGAGCAAATGATAGACAATTAGATTTAGCGTTTAAGTGTAGCAGAATAGTAACTGGACAAAACTCCAGGTACTATTAACCATCTTCTCTTTCTAGATCTGACCTCTAACTCTGCAGACCTAATCCTAGATACTCTAAAGGCCCCTGGGGAATTGCTTTCACTGATTTACACATCAGTTTCTAACAACATTTTCAGTAACACTGAAATCATAAAATTAAATCATTCATTCACTAGTCATTCAAATATCCACTGAGAGTCTACTTTGGGTCAGGCACTGTTCCAGTCCTAGGAACAGAAATATGAATAAGACAAAGATCCTTAACCTCATGAGCCTTATGAATTCACAAGTGAGTTACAATACAGATGTGTGCCACTGTTCATTACACTACTGCATTATGGGGACCCATGGGGAAATTTTCTTTCCCATTCCCAGACCCCAAATAATTATACTTTTGCTGAGCAACTTGTTAGTTTTTACATTCTGAACGCTGTGAATCATTGTAAACAGTACAACTGTGTTTTTCTTCCTATTGACTACTATAAAGTTTGGAGCAAAATGTGTGGCCTGTCTCTGTCAAGTGGTTTTGAAAATATTTCTATTAGAAAGGTTGAAGTGAGAAACATGAGATCAAAAGATGGAGATCAAACACCCAGATCCAGAGGTAGAAGCTTAGAAGACAAGATGAAGTACAGATAATCACAGGATTGCTACTGGCCCTTTCAGAACTTATTTCTCTCTAAATATAATTGGATTAA